CGCTTATCATCACAAAGGCAACTCTTTGGGTCATTTTTCTCTCGTACCGGAACGGACTTGATATGGCCCAGTATCTATCCACGCTGATAATGCAGAGGTTGAGGATAGACGCAGTTGAGCACATAATGTCAAACGCCACCCAGTAATTACAAAAAGTGCCAAATGGCCAATACCCCGCCACCTCAGCCACAGCTTTCCATGGCATCACCAGAATTGCAACGAATAAATCCGACACAGCCAAAGAAACGATGAAAATGTTGGTCACTTTACTTCGCAATTGCCGAATTCGGAGCACGGCGGAGCACACCATAAGGTTTCCCAGTAGTGTCCATAGGATGATCAGGGAGAGCAAACAGCCCGTCACTGTCCGGATGACCAATTCCTTTCCACCGTCTGATGTTGCCTCCGATTCGGTCGAGTTCCACATAATCTCCCCAAGAGGTAACGGGACGGAGTGGTTCTCGTGCACTGAGAGGTATTTCGCACGGTTCTCTATGTGTCCTCTCAAGTGGAAAGCCAGTCCATTGCGCCAATCGCGTCTGAGGACGCAGTAGTAACCAACTCACGGTGCTCTGTCGTCCCTTGGTCTGCCATTCTATTTGAAATAAATATACAAACGAAGGATTTGAGATTGCTTAGTGAATTTGCGACAAATGTGTTGCATCCACGCTGAGCCGAACTGGGCGTTCGGTGCGCCAAAAGGTTGAACCGCGTTGCTCATTGGCCACCACATGTTATTACCTCGCGTGTCGTCTGACCTGCCTTGCCATAGTAAGGCAGCTGCACTGAAACTATTGGTCGAGGCTATTTGGAGTTCGTGAGTGCTTTGAGAAGGGAGGGAGTCCCCTGAGCCAACGCGCACACACACACAGACACAGGCACACGCAGGCACATATACACACACATACACACACACCTCCGTTGTGGAAACACGCACTTGCACTACACGAATTGAGGTTCTATTCCTCTCGCTAGAAAGCTACCAATGAGCATTCTATCTGGATTCTAATTTTAGATTAGGTTGCACACTCATACTCCAGTTGTGGGCTTCTGTTCAGCAAAAGCAACAATTCAGTTTGCAAAAGGTAGGCCTGAGTGAATGTTTTTTATTTAATCTATACTTTTCTATAAACAGTGAAATAAATATGGAGTATTTCATTGCTGTGGGGATAATGAATAATGATATCCAGGGGTGCTGTCCGTGGTGCTGAAATTGCACATGGAACAACTCTCCCTCAGGAATGCGAATTTGACGCAAGACACTTGTTTTAGAATTAAGCCTTCTTTTGTGGCTGGAATTGTATTGTTAATCGACGTTGTCTGTGTGAAAATAAACATTGCATACATTTATGAAGGTCATCACTAGCCTATAGCCTACGTTGTGAGCAATTGATAGTACAGCTCTCTCCAAATTACGCAAGACGCGTTTGGAGTGAGCGTGATGTTTTCAGTTTAATTTCAACTTCAGGCTAGACATCCTAGGTGACTCACTCTCACACTCTACGTGCAAGTAGAAACACAATAACTAAATGCACTGCAACATCTGCATGTGCAGTGTATCCTCTTGCGTTGGCAGTTTCCGGCTTTTTAATGTCATCTTTATTTTTAGGTGTGTCGACAACATGCCTGTCAAATTGGTTTGATGCCTATCTACATAATCTCTCAGCGTCCTGCAAAATTCTGTCGAGTAAAATCTAGGATATGTTATGTCGAATTCGGACATTATTTACTTATTTCATTCATGGTAATTTGTGCATATGATGATCAGTCTTTTTTACTGACTTTCACCATCCTTGAATATAGTGAGTGAGAGTTTACCAAACAAAAGGGATTTGTCAGCCCCTACCCCCTACCTGTACAATGTCAATCAATAACAAAGATGTATACAAATTGATTTAATGTTGACTATTTATAATAGGCTAGATATGCTTATCTATAAAGCATGAATTATATTCAGATAATACTCTGCATTTGAAATTATGATTGATATAATTCAGATAATAAATAGGCTATATGCCTATAATTTGTAGAATCCCTAGGAAATATAGTCACAAACGTTTTGAAATTATTTAGCAATTCCATTCCAACAAACAATGGGACTAGACTAACTGACAAAAATGGGTGATTGCAAAAAGTTTACATTCGCTGAACTTTATTGAAGAGTTGAATACAAAGATAATATAGCAAGTTCGGAATTGGGCAACAACCTTTGCAATGTATCTGATTCCGAGGTTTTACGCACTAACGTAAACCTAGAAAGTCGGCTAGAAAGTTAACATTTGTCGCCACCACGTGGCCATTGTGGCCAGCTATTACATCAAGACGATATTTTAGCAAGTTAGGAAATGGAAAGTAAATTCAAATAATTAGCAGGATAAACTGAGACTGGGGGGTGAGAACTTTAGGCCTATATTCCCAGAGTTCTATAACTATACCATTTGATTCGTCTTGTTGCCAAAAATATGGTTTTAACTCTAGGCACTTGTCGTGAAAGAAGATGGTTTCTGCTATTTGAGCATTGAGCTATGCTACATAGGCCTATATGCTCTGATGAAGGTCCACAGTGATTTGATGAACTTTTCGCTAACGTGCAAAGATCGAACGAGAGAGACCAGGGTCCCCTACCAACCGTGGTGGGTTATATGACTCATGCATGTACATATGTTTTATGTGAGTTATGTCTTCACTGTAGATAATAGACCTACTGTATGTATTTCTTTGAACTTAAAATGTCAGTTTCACAATCATTTTTATTACAGAGCCTATATGTACAGTAGCTTTAATCTACTTTCAGATATGTACACAGAGAGGATATAGTATTGGTGCAGGTTTACCAATAAGCATCAACCACAGATTGGCACATACAACTGAGAACAAGTACAGTAGTTAGCACCAATGTAGAACTCACAGTTTTCTGATAGACCCTACAGCCTAAATATGTTGTTCAAAAATTAACTATACAGTAGCACTACATTTCACTAATTCATCACAAAATCAATCAACAACATCACAGGTTAAGATTATTGTCAATGCTTACTTTTCAAAACGACATCAATCAAGATATTTGGTTCAGTTTCAGAATTGTTTCAGTTTGAAACAACATATTTTATTTTTGGAAAATGCATGTCAGTCAATACAGTATATACTGATCTGAGCAAATATTGTATTGTTGCCCTTTTCAATAACATAATAACCGCCCCATCCTTCAGCTGTTTACCAAAACTGTGGCGGGGTCACCACTTTGGTGTTGTTTAACTGCAGATTGTCCCTTTAAAATGCAGAGTTCCTACTTAGTCTCTTCACCATCATTATGGAGTCGGAGAGCAAATGGTATACACTGTCGGCCAGTGGCCAGTTTACAGACACTTTCACCGGAGATTCTCCATTGAGCATTTGTTTTAGTCCAGGACTAGGCTTAATATGGGTCCAGGGAATAAATCAGTGTGGATTGGCACATGCTCCACACACCCCAGGCAGTTTTTTAGTCAAATTGAGCTCCATAATAATGATTGAAATTTTAAACAAATTTAAGGAAACCACATGAGGTTCATTAGAAGAAGAAAAAAGAACTAAAAGGAAAGTATTGCCTCATAGAGCTACTAGCATTAAAGAGCCGTCAACACTGTACAGCATTCAACTGAATGTGTATGTCATCAAACATACACGGAATGATGTCAACAAGTCATGATTGAGGACAGTCAATACAATGAGACGTTTGCGAAAGATTGTGAGAACTACAGTCCAATGGACTTTGCGAGAGATTGAGAACTACAGTCCAATGGACTTTGCGAGAGATTGAGAACTACAGTCCGATGGACTTTGCGAGAGATTGAGAACTACAGTCCAATATTACACCGAAGAGCATTCAAAGTCCTGCCCTATACTACAGTACATGTAGGACTCTAGACTGTGGCCAGCCAAGTAGTTCAAGTGTTTGACACAGCAGTGTTGAGTTTCCTGTGTATTTTTCTGACCACTGAGAACATCCTCCATGACAGTATGTGCATTTGAAATATACATAAAAATGGCAACACAAAAAAAAAACGTTTAAGGCTTTTACAGTTGCACGTCATCTTTCCAATCCATAGTATAGTTCTTATGTGACATTAAATAATCGAGACAGAGAGAGCTTCTTTGGCTTCTCTATGATGTTGGAGTACTGCTACGAACACAGTGGTGTGTGTGAAATCAGCGCAACAGGGGATCAGTCTCACTAGTCTCACCATGAAACAGGATTTGAAAAATGAATGTGGCATGGCAGTTCGATATAAGTTGTTTCACTGCACCATCTACTTTCATCATGTGTCATCACTTATCAGGTACCACATTACACTCTCATGATGCATTCATACATAGCCTGGCTTACATCTGTACTAGATCAGAGACACGACTCAACACTAAACTATTACATACGCGTTTAATAACGCGTTCAACAAAACTTTGATGAACATCAAAAGACAAACCCAAACACTTGTTATAACAGAGACCTAAATTCAAATTTCAATTTCACTTTTCAGTGCAGCAACACACAACAAAGCAATAACAAAGCAAATACTATTTGAAATCTTTCAAATACTTTGGGGTCTGGGTGAGCCTTCCGGGGGGGGGGGGGGGGGGGGGGGGGGGTGCCAGTTCTTTCACGTTTGGGGCTATTCCATTGGTTATATTGTGCCAGGCCAGCTCAAACAAGCACAGCTAAAGTATTTGAAAGATTCCGAATACTATTTGAATCCAGGGTCTGATATCAATGTAATTTGTTGTTTTTATCTGGTGCTATAAAATGTTTCTGAAGATGCATCGCTACAAGGGACATCTCATCTAGTATAATAAGCCCCCTAAACTGACAAATGTGTTTCAATGCTTATTTAGAAGTCTAAAGTACATGACAAGAGCACCTCCTGAAAGGTTGACCTGTGTTGCTATTCATTTCCTCTATGGAGCCCTTGGTGACAAGTGTTCTTGTGCATGTTATGTTGTCTCGTCGGTCCCTCTTCGTCTTGTCACACTCTTCGGAAAACTTCGAAGAGGGAGGCCACAGAGTGCATGCGGTAGAAGAGGTTCATTGGCACTGCAAAATTGAGAACTGTTGTCCATATGGTGAAGCCAAACGTCTCCTGCTCCAGGCCATTGTCATACTGGGGTCTGCAGCCAAAGGCGGGGAGGATCCAGAGCTGCAGGAAGGAGACACCAAATAAAGTTAAACCTAACTTTGTGATGTTGTTTTTTGTTTTTTTGTGTGTGGTGAATATGTCTTGTATTTTCATAGACTCACACACAATACATTTCCCTACTGGAACATTGCATTGAAGGTAGAGAATAAAAGTAGCTAGTAGGGTAAGAAATGGGGAATGCTATGCGTTTGAGAACTAGCTATACCCTAAGACAATAACATCAATGCTGACTATTATAATTAAATAAATCATAAATGATAAGTAAAAAACAGCAAGCTTACTGAGATGTTGCACATGAAGAGGAAGACAGCAATGTTCTTCAGAATCTGCCTCTTCTTGCTCGGGGTCTCCGCCACGTTGTTCCCGACGTGCAGGGGCACTGCCGAATGTTTCCGTGGGCTGAATGTTCCGTAAACCTGTCCGTTCTCCTCCTGCTCGTTCTCCAGCGTGACACAGCCCTTGTCTGGGTTCTCGTACGCCCGGTTGATGATGCCATTGTAGGGCGGAGCCAAGGAGGAGGTCACAGAGTAGATCTCTGGCACAGGCCCTGCCACCTCAGCGTCCTCCCTCTCACCGTCCTCCCGCTGGCGGTAGAGGGACTCTATGATGAACAGGTTCTGGATGTACTTCTCCAGGACGATGAGCAGCGAGTACATCAGGTTGGTCCAGCGGTAGCTCGGGCTGCTGCCTGAGGCTGCCACAGCCACTACGCTGCACCAGGACATGAGCCAGGAGCCCACCGACGATCCGAACAGGATCTCTGTGTCCAGCGTCCGCGAGGGGTTCTTGGTGGTGTCCATGGGCATAGGGTCGGCACGGTATATGAGCAGACCCGTGGCCCCGGCCGAGCACATGAACACCAGCATGACGATGCCGTAGCAGTAGAACATTGCGATGGCCGACTCCCGGGTGTCCATCGACTCTTCCACATGGATGATGTAGACCACCAGCACACCGATGGTGCTGGCCAGGGCAACGAGACCCAGGATGGGGCCAACCACCAGCCCTTGGGTCCTGGTAGCCGGCCTTTTCCGGTTGTACTGGAGGTCAATGCTGCGCCCTATGTTCTTCCACATGACAAAGAGCATTGCAGAGACAAAGATGTGGTACTCGATGTTGAAGGGGTAAAGGTAGTAGAGGCTGTTGGAGAACATGGAACAGGCGCTGGTAGTGCAATTACAGTGAGGCTCCATATCCACTGAAACACATAAAAAAACAATATCTTGTCAGTTTCAAGCACAGTGAAATCCCACTTCTGCCACCATAATGTGCTTTACAAAACAGTGACCTCCAATTTGTGTATACAAGTACACTACACAGAGGATGTAAACTCCCAAGTTATTCAAATATTTAAAACAAATATGTATGGCAATAAAGTATATTTCAACGTTTTTTGCATGTTTTTTGCATGTTTTTTTGTGTCTTAATCAATTCTTTGCCATCAGAGTCTAAAGCAACAATACACTTCAGTGTGAGGTAGGACTGGAATTTAGAATACAGTTATTTACCAAATGAATTGGTCTGGACTGGAATTTAGAGAAAATGTCCTGTTTGGGCCTCCCAGCTCAATGTCCTAGTCGTTTCAGTTTTGACAATCTTCATGTAGCAGTGGGTCTGATAAATATGACCACAAACTGCTCTTCACATGTGTGATGAGGATCATCAGGTTGGTGGATCAAGTGGATCAATCAACCTTCTGAACACAAAAATACACAATTCCACAAAATGGTATACAATGACTTTCAGTCTTTCCTCGAAATAATACTTCCCTTGTACTTGAAGCCCCTACCATTTGTATTACTATTTCCTAGTGCTGCCCTCTAGAGACTGCATTTAAACTCAACCCTGTAGCACCACTATCTCTACCCACTCACGACCCCTCCCCAAAGGGTACCACTACGGTCCTGCTCTCTTTAATTAAAAAGGGAACAACAGCGGCACAGTCAGCCGGATATGAGGGGGCCGGTGGAGCAGCCACGGCTTAAGATGTATCAGTTACTGTAATTGCAGCGCCCTTGGGAGCAGCCCGGCTTGGGACAAAGGCGTCTGAGGTCGCTCGAGCTGGGGGGGGGCGGGTGGTGGGGGCCAGCGACCGTGCATGTCTCGTGAAACCTAAGAGAGAGGCGTTCGACACAAACAAGACCTGCCGGACTGCCTAATCCATCCCACCTTCCCCTCCAACCCCCCTCGCACCCCTGTCTTTCATCCAATGAAGTGAGCTTCTCAAGTGAACTATTGTCCTTTTTTCTTTGGGTACAAGCAGCCACTCGACCCCTGGTCTCCTTACCTATGGTGAGGTTTACATAGCCCAGGGAAGAGAGCCTTCTCTTGTGGTTGTTTAGGAAGTGCTCAGCCTCAGACATCACACCGTTGCACCACAGCAGCAGGTTGGTGAAGACTGCATGGATTACACCAAATCTGAGGGAAACACACATGAAACAAAATGGAACAATATGAATTTACAATGACATTTTAAATTAGTATAATGGTTATAACAGGATAAATAAACTCATCAACTCTTTTACTGAATTCCACCAATGAAAAATGTACTTGAGCATAACCTAAACATACCGTAGGTTTGAGAGGCTTGCATGGGTTGTGACAATCTCAAAATACTGGTTTATTATATTTTACAATACCTTTCAAAGGTCTCGAAGGCCTTGATGACGTCCTTGATGTGAAACCAAAGGAAATGCACCTAAAACAAAACTCTAAATTATATTTGTATCATAGCACTGACAAGACACACTATATAATAAAAAATTTAAAAAAATAATAATTTCTGGTGAAGGCTTTCATTTGGACTGTGAAAATGAATAATCAGAATGTGAGGCCATATCAAGCGACCTTTCAACTGATGGATTACCTCCGCCTGTGCTACATTAGACTCCAATAACATGGACAATGACAGGATTATGTTGTACAGACAACTCTCTTTCTTACCTGAGAAACAAAGCGTACATTATTCCACTTCAAGACAAAGCACTATACCTGTTGAAGTGGTATTTCGATACCTTTACTCAATAACTTTTAAACAGAGCAGCCAGCTTACCTGTAACACTTTATATATTTAAGAGGGTAAAGGGGTTTATACATGGTTTATAAGCTGTTAATTGTTACTTTATAAATCTGAAATAAACAGTTAGCCTATGTACATTGTAATTGCAGGCTCTAATAACACATTGGTTTAAACTGTGTGCTTGTCATTTCGCTGCTTGGAAAATACTGAGTTTATATGTCTGCACTGTCAATAATAACAGTAATAATCAATAGAGCATTCATAAGTAGGCCTACATTGTTATTTTGGTGCTTGCTTAATAATCTTTAAATGAATAATTAACCGTTTATAAATTTCAGGGCACTTTACAAATCCTTGTAAGTATAGGCCATAATGAAAAGCGTGATCAAATCAACATAGAATGGGGGTTGTATCTTACCTGTGCTATTGTGTGAGTTGCGTGGATGATAGGGTACACCCCTAGAACAGCCGACACGCATGATCGATAGCCCACAAAATACCCAATACGGAAGGCATCCATGATCAACGAGAGGAGCGCAAGAAGAGTTAGCCCACCTATATCAATGAAAGATTCGTTATTATGGGGCTGCATCGAAACGAATAACTATGCAAATCAAACTTTAATTGCTTTTGATGTCAATAAAATGTTTGAAAAACAAGAACAAAAATATTTGGAAAATAAGCCCCATTAGCTACTTGAGAAGCATTAAACTATATAAAACATTGAAGATATCATGTAATACCACATTATTCTTATGGACTAATAACGACCTCGAGATTAAATAAATACATTCGCAACACCATTTTACGCAAGGAAAAGCCTAAATCTTCCAAACATGCGTGCGTCAGCTTCACCTCTTATCCAACAGGTAGTAGCATGCACATCCTTTTCTGGCTGTAAGTTACTCTGCCTGTCTCTGCTCACGATGTACCATATCATCCATATCAGCTGGAGGATCATGAGGGTCGTGATAAACGACAGCAGGTGCTCTTCCTTCACGGATGCGCCATGGTGCGCAATAGCCAGCATCAACGACACGCCGATCAAAAGTAAATTAGTCCCATACTGGCCGCTCAGGATCTCCGCATTCTTCTGCGGATAGTCCTCAGTCAAACTGACTTTCAACTTGGTGAATATTTTCTTTTCTCGCTCTGAGCTGGAGGACGAGGTAGAGGAACTGTGACTGTAGGACTTATTTAAACACATAAGGTCAAGGCCACCGTGCTCAACCATGGCGCCGAAATCTGTAACATTCGAGTCCGAAAGTAAGAGCAATGTCAAAACTGTGCGCTATAAGTGCATTTGTGGAAGGCCAAGTGCGCAACCTGTTGTAAAAAGGCGGGGACGCAAATGGAAGGAACTGTGCCAACTACATGTTGATTCAGTCCAAAGACGGTCTCATTTGTTTCGCATGCTTTCAGTGTCCAGTTTCACTAACATGGTGTGTTTGACGTAACCTATTGTCACCCTGGACCATTTAGCTGAAATTAGGCTACTTTATAGCGCATTATATACTCGCTTGATGGGTGAATTCAGATGAATAGATTGAGTTTCAGCCATCGGTGACCCCCATCCATTGTCCGTTTGGATCTGCCATACGTTTTTTTGCTAAATTGGCGGACTAGTAGTGCCAACCATTCAATTAATCTACAGAAAAAAATAACGTGATCATGGAATAATTTAATCCCCAAAAAGCTTTTTCGTCCACGGATCCTCGTTTCTATAGTCGTTGCCAACTAGCACTGCTGTCCAAGTCTCTGAAATCCGTTTTGAGGGGTTATCTCGTGTAAGATAAAAAGAAAACGATATTTGTCAAACCACTTAGGCGAGGTTTTACAGGTATGGGGCTCAGACTGTTCCCAACTCTCCAAATATTATCGTACCCAAACGCCCTTCAGTCCAATTGCCCGTAAGCGTTTACCTCCACTTGCCTAGTCATGGTTAAGAACTATGCTTTTCAAGAGTGAAAAAAACAGAATCGGATTTCAATGGTCGAATTTACAATGGCCCTTTTTGTAAATGGATTTGTTGAAGTAGGAGGACTCATCTTCAATGAGAATGCCCCCCCCAAAAAAGAAAATGCACTAAGGGCATGTTGTTTTTTTTAAATGTGAGGGGGGATTATAGGTAACATCAAAATGAACCTAGTCTACAATATGTTTATCAAATGCATGATAACATATTGCATGCAATAGGGTATCAATGTGTGGTAGTTAGTGTGAGATACACTTAGTGAAATTGATACAGGTAGGAGTAATGGTTTAACAATGGGAGCCATTATATTTCAATATCCGTCGGGAACTCTGGGAAAATCTGACCGCGTAACCCCTGACCTAGATGTTCTCCCGAATGGTTTCCACCTTTTACGCATGACTCCAAATTCCCTTTGGTGCTTTTTATGTTGCCATAGCTGCAGTATTATAGGCTGCAAATTATAAATTTACCAGGGTGCATTGAATAGTGCTTACAGGAGAGGCGTAAAACAAATATAGGGCCATTAAATAATGATCAATTAGCTCATAAGATGGGTTGGCGCAGGCCTATATCGAAACTCAATACTACTCTACGTGTCTAATCAGAACCTCTGTAGCTCAGCTGGTAGAGCACGGCGCTTGTAACGCCAGGGTAGTGGGTTCGATCCCCGGGACCACCCATACACAAAAATGTATGCACGCATGACTGTAAGTCGCTTTGGATAAAAGCGTCTGCTAAGTGGCATATTATTATTATTATTATTATTAACTTCGTTTCCGTTGTTGTACTCATTGTTTTGATCAAGCATCAGGAAATAAACTCATGGACTCTCAGTTGAGGTGGTCATCAGCGCTAACCCTTCTGAATGGGAATCCTAATCTGAGATGACACCGTGTCGTTAATCATTGCTCTCGATTCCTATCAGTCAAATAAACAAACATCCATTTAAATGTTAATTCCATCAACCTGATTGATTCTGTTTCTGGACATTTCAAATTGATTGGAGGCGGTCATTTTGCCCAGTGGAGCGCGTGCAATAGTTGTTTACTACAGACCAATAATTTGCAGGTAGCCCTTTACACTTGTACCCATATACAGGTTGACCATTGCAGTTTTGGGCACTGATACGCGCCTAAATTGGACACAGTGGCTGTACAGTAACATGCTATACATGAAATCATAGGTCACAGCACTGTATGGGTTTGACTGACAGCAGTTCTGAACTGGAGCACCCGCTAATTGGGCAACTTTAGCTAATTTGTTGTTGTCTGAGTGAGGGACTCAATGTATTTTTAAAGATGAGAGGTTGAGGATGATAATGATAAATACCACTATGATGTCACACATGCAAGCCAAACACCCCCCAGTCCAAATGTGCACTACATGTTTCCATATAAAACTCATGTCATATACAGTGTCAAAGTTTATGATCACTATGATGTACAGTGAGGAGAACAAGTATTTGATACACTGCCGATTTTGCAGGTTTTCCTACTTACAAAGCATGTAGAGGTCTGTAATTTTTATCATAGGTACACTTCAACTGTGAGAGACGGAATCTAAAACAAAAATCCTGAAAATCACATTGTATGACTTTTAAGTAATTAATTTGCATTTTATTGCATGACATAAGTATTTGATACATCAGAAAAGCAGAACTTAATATTTGGTACAGAAACCTTTGTTTGCAATTACAGAGATCATATGTTTCCTGTAGGTCTTGACCAGGTTTGCACACACTGCAGCAGGGATTTTGGCCCACTCCTCCATACAGACCTTCTCCAGATCCTTCAGGTTTCGGGGCTGTCGCTGGGCAATACGGCCTTTCAGCTCCCTCCAAAGATGTTCTATTAGATTCAGGTCTGGAGACTGGCTAGGCCACTCCAGGACCTTGAGATGCTTCTTACGGAGCCACTCCTTAGTTGCCCTGGCTGTGTGTTTCGGGTCGTTGTCATGCTGGAAGACCCAGCCACGACCCATCTTCAATGCTCTTACTGAGGGAAGGAGGTTGTTGGCCAAGATCTCGCGATACATGGCCCCATCCATCCTCCCCTCAATACGGTGCAGTCATCCTGTCCCCTTTGCAGAAAAGCATCCCCAAATAATTATGTTTCCACCTCCATGCTTCACGGTTGGGATGGTGTTCTTGGGGGTTGTACTCATCCTTCTTCTTCCTCCAAACACGGCGAGTGGAGTTTAGACCAAAAAGCTATATTTTTGTCTCATCAGACCACATGACCTCCTCCCATTCCTCCTCTGGATCATCCAGATGGTCATTGGCAAACTTCAGACGGGCCTGGACATGCGCTGGCTTGAGCAGGGGGACCTTGCGTGCACTGCAGGATTTTAATCCATGACGGCGTAGTGTGTTACTAATGGTTTTCTTTGAGACTGTGGTCCCAGCTCTCTTCAGGTCATTGACCAGGTCCTGCCGTGTAGTTCTGGGCTGATCCCTCACCTTCCTCATGATCATTAATGCCCCACGAGGTGAGATCTTGCATGGAGCCCCAGACCGAGGGTGATTGACCGTCATCTTGAACTTCTTCCATTTTCTAATAATTGCGCCAACAGTTGTTGCCTTCTCACCAAGCTGCTTGCCTATTGTCCTGTAGCCCATCCCAGCCTTGTGCAGGTCTACAATTTTATCCCTGATGTCCTTACACAGCTCTCTGGTCTTGGCCATTGTGAAGAGGTTGGAGTCTGTTTGATTGAGTGTGTGGACAGGTGCAGTTAATACAGGTAACGAGTGGAGAACAGGAGGGCTTCTTAAAGAAAAACTAACAGGTCTGTGAGAGCCGGAATTCTTGCTGGTTGGTAGGTGATCAAATACTTATGTCATGCAATAAATTGCAAATTACTTACTTAAAAATCATACAATGTGATTTTCTTGATTTTTGTTTTAGATTCCGTCTCTCACAGTTGAAGTGTACCTATGATAAACATTACAGACCTCTACATGCTTTGTAAGTAGGAAAACCTGCAAAATCTGTAGTGTATCAAACACTTGTTCTCCCCACTGTACATACACTACCTTTCAAAAGTTTGCGGTCACTTAGCTTTTCTTTCGAAAACAAGGATATTTCATTTTTTTAGTCCATTAAAATAACATCAAATTGATCCGAAATACAGTGTAGACATTGTTAATGTTGTAAATGGCTATTGTAGCCAGAAAAGGCTGATATTTAATGGAATATCTACATAGGCATACAGAGGCCCATTATCAGCAACCATCAGTCCTGTGTTCCAATGGTACGTTGTGTTTGCTAATCCAAGTTGATCATTTTAAAAGGCTAATTGATCATTAGAAAACTCTTTTGCAATTATGTTAGCACAGCTGAAAACTGTTGTGCTGATTAAAGAAGCAATAAAACTGGCCTTCCTGGGACTAGTTGAGTATCTGGAGCATCAGCAATTGTGGGTTCGATTACAGGCCCAAAATGGCCAGAAACAAAGAACATTATTCTGAAACTCGTCAGTCTATTCTTGTTCTGAGAAATGAAGGCTATTCCATGCGAGAAATTGCCAAGAAACTGAAGAGCGCAAACTCTAACCAGAATAGAAATAGGAGTGGGAGGCCCCGGTGCACAACTGAGCAAGAGGACAAATACATTAGTGTCTAATTTGAGAAACAGATGCCTCACTGGTCCTCAACTGGCAGCTTCATTAAATAGTACCCGCAAAACACCAGTCTCAACGTCAACAGTGAAGAGGCGACTCCGGGATGCTGACCTTCTAGGCAGAGTTGCAAAGAAAAAGCCATATCTCAGACTGCCCATCTTAATATTTCCTTTTTATTGGCCAGTCTGAGATATGGCAATAAAAAGAAAAGATTAAGATGGGCAAAATAACACATACACTGGACTTTTTCTTTACAACTCTGCCTAGAAGGTCAGCATCCCGGAGTCGCCTCTTCACTGTTGACGTTGAGACTGGTGTTTTGCGGGTACTATTTAATGAAGCTGCCAGTTGAGGACCTGTGAGGCAATACTAATGTATTTGTCCTCTTGCTCAGTTGTGCACCGGGGCCTCCCACTCCTCTTTCTATTCTGGTTAGAGCCAGTTTGCGCTGTTCTGTGAAGGGAGTAGTACACAGCATTGTACGAGATCTTCAGTTTCTTGGCAATTTCTCGCATGGAATAGCCTCCATTTCTCAGAACAAGAATAGACTGATGAGTTTCAGAAGAAAGTTATTTGTTTCTGGCCATTTTGGGCCTGTAATCAAACCCACAATTGCTGATGCTCCAGATACTCAACTAGTCTCAAGAAGGCCAGTTTTATTGTTTAATCAGCACAACAGTTTTCAGCTGTACAAACATAATTGCAAAAGGGTTTTCTAATGATCAATTAACCTTTTAAAATGATCAACTTGGATTAGCAAACACAACGTACCATTGGAACACAGGACTGATGGTTGCTGATAATGGGCCTCTGTACGCCTATGTAGATATTCCATTAAATATCAGCCATTTCAAGCTACAATAGCCATTTACAACATTAGAAATGTCTACACTGTATTTCTGATCAATTTGATGTTATTTTAAATGGACAAAATAATTGCTTTTCTTTCGAAAACAAGGACATTTCTAAGTGACCCCAAACTTTTGAACGGTAGTGTAGTTAGTTACAAGATGACATGGCGTCATACTCTGGGTTGTTCTGAACAGAATGAGCCTGTTTGTCTATTGTGATAAATTCGCCGCTGAACATGCACACCACAATTACGATCAGTTTCTCTGAATTGCCCTGTGAAAGCCTAACACTAAGATTGTACTTTATAACTTAGCTAGTCATGTTAGCAACAGAACAAGCTTTCAAATGATGCCCACCTGACCCAGATTGCGATTTACACTGAGTGTACAAAACATTGACATAGACTGACCAGGTGAAAGCTATGATCCATTGTTGATGTCACCAGTTAAATGCACTTCAAACAGTGTAGATGAAGGTGAGGAGACAGGTTAAATAATGATTTTTAAGCCTTGAGACATGGATTGTGTGTGTGCCATTCAGAGGGTGAATGGGCAAAACAAAAGTTAAGTGCCTTTGAACGGGGTATGGTAGTAGGTGCCAGGCACAGGAGGTTGGTGACACCTGAATTGGGGAGGATGGGCTCGTGGTAATGGCTGGAGCGGAGTCTGTGGAAAGGTATCAAATACATGGTTTCCATGTGTTTGATGCCATTCCATTTACTCCGTTCCAGCCATTATGAGCCATCCTCCCCTCAGCAGCCTCCACTGGTGCCAGGCGCACCAGTTTGAGTATGCCAAGAACAGCAATGCTGCTGGGTTTTTCATGCTCAACAGTTTCCCATGTATACCAAGAATGGTCCACCACCCAAAGGACATACAGCCAACTTGACAACTGTGGGAAGATTTGGAGTCAACATTAGCCAGCATCCATGTGGAACGCTTTCGACATCTTTTAGTCCATGCCCCGACGAATTGTGGCTGTTCTGAGGGCAAAAGATGGTGCAACTCAATATTAGGAAGGTGTTCCTAATGTTTTGGGCGGTTTTTGGTTCGCGGAAACAACAGTAATTGTGTGATGTTGGGGATACAGGTCTGTGTTCCAAACAAAACAACTATACGTGTGCTTGCTCTAGCTCCTCAATGGCACAGCTAGGAGAGAAAATAAATAAAAAATAAGTGCATTGAAATGACTTAGGAACTGTGCACACTTTGGAGAGTTGTGTGGCCACGTGGAGTTAGGACTAGTCCTCTCACTACCACACATTTTCCAGGAATATTCTGATGTTACTGAATCTATCCAGAGTCTTTTCAGATTTTGTTATCAACAAATGCGGTGAAAAGTACAGGAACTGTAAAATGCACATAAAATCAACAGTGTAATATTTAATTCAGTCTTGTGTCAGGTGAACTGTTGTCCTCAACTTTGGTTTAATAATTTCCCCATTATCTCCAAACTGTTCCCTTTCAATTGCTACCACAGTTATGCATATGCTTTTCATATACTTCTGTAAGAAACATTTCCATTTTGCCCTATCCCTATAGGCCAATTCCCACGAGTGTAAAGGGTTAAGGTGTCTTGCTCAAATGTATCTTATTGCAGCTATTATTAAAGGGTATTTGATTTTACAACCATCTTGCAGGTTTAGGCCTGTACATTTCCAGGTAGGCCTATAGATTTTCTCAAGGAGATTAGGAGATTATAATAATTGATCCCACAACTCTTAGACAACTACAGTATAGCTCATCTTGATGCAACAAAAACCTTGATGATTATTTGTGACCCAATGAGTGGAAGAAGTTTGTCCACTTAAATAACCTATTAGTCTCACATACCGTATTAAATAAATAAAGACACTCAAGTTCATATCAATAATTTTGACGGTTAGGCTTTTTGCCAACAATACAGGAAAACAAGGATGACATTAGCTACAAACCATTATTTATTTAGCAAAAAGTTGAAAAGATTTTACAGAATTTAAGCACACATTTACACTGTTAATAGCACAATGGCTTTGTGACTCACAAATACACATGTGATTCAAAAACATATACAAAGAACAATTAAAGCACTTAAAAAGCTTTGGTAATTGATCAAATATAATATGCATATTTAAAATAAATCCTGAATATGATCAATTTATTAACACAAAAGTCAGTCAAACTGTTGTCATTCACTTTATGTTGAGGCTTTAGTACTGTAAATGAAACAAAAATAATTGCATTCAGCAATAGGTACTTAGTTATCTATTATTGGTAGTTATGCAATGCAATGATATTTTGAAATTGAGGGAGAAGTATTGGATGGAACAAATACTAACAATACAGTTCACAATATCGATTCATAAGAACATCTTCATTTAAATTTTGCCATCTTACCTTAACATCTCACCCGAGCATCGATATGAGCATAACACCTCCCATGAACTGGGTAAACAGGAGGACGGGGGTGAGGAACGACCACACAGGCCACAGAGCTATATTAAAACTGGGGAGAATAAATAAAAAATGTGCTTGACCAAAATCATTCTGATCACCATTGGTGATATTGTAAAATAGGCTAACAACTTACTAACCAAAAGCATTATGTAGCTAGCTAGCTATGCCATGTGTATCCATTCACATAGATCAGTAACAGGGTATGCTTTAAGGAATATTAAGGTACTTTTTTGCGAAGATTTCAGGAAGGCTGCCGTGCTACAGCAAACAAAGAAAACTAGGAGGAGTGCTCGACAACAATGACAAAAATCCAACAAAAAGGGCTTACCCAAGGAAAAACTTCCAAAAGGAATAATTTCAGGCAGAGAGGAGTTGGAGAACTCAACAACAAAAAAGAGAGATTCATTTCTTATTTTCTCACTTGAATCCACTGTTGAGGATGAACAAGAAAATCATCTCTTTTGTAAGCCCTTTTGTTACTTTTTGCAAAGTTCAGGGGTGGGTTTCCTACAGCCTTCGCAGCTAAAGTAATATATTATTTATTTGCACAACCCAGCCACAAGAGAGTAACTATTATAAAAATGTATGTTTGACGGTTAATCTTCTATGCATGAACTAATGACATTCGTAAAATAAAGCACTCTGCACTTCTACAAGAGGCGTAAGTTAAAGTCGGCAAAAACATACTTTATGTTAGAAACACATCCCATGTCAGTTTTGAGGATGTAAATGTCATTGAAAGAGTATTACCTGCATGATGCTGCAATGAAGGCTGCTGTGGTGATAGGGGCAATAGCAGGGTATTCCTGGTCGTAGTGCTTTATGCCCTTGAACCACTCCAGGTATACGATGCAAAATGTGGCCAAAGATAGGCATATTCCCAACAGTATCACACCAACATTGAACCACCAGCTGGAAAACAAAACACATAAGCAGCAAATACATGACAGGAACTTGAGGTTTGATTCTTCGGGAAATGCAGTAATCATAAATGCGTTTCTGCAAACATTGAGTATTAAGATAATCCTGCATGAATAAAATGTGCCTAACCAAAAAAGACCAAATAAGCACAATATTTGGGACTTTTCCAATTACATTGACCAATCTACACCTTAGTAACTTAAGACCAAATATTGGATATTTTCTGGCCAGTGGAAATCACTTCAATAAGAGAAAATCCAGAAACTAAATTCTCAAGTCTGGATCCAGGCTAACAACCCATTTGATTAGCCTACTAATCACAGATGACCTACTGCAAAGGCATACACACACACACACTCTTTTCAAACTAGCTGGATTGATTTGCGTACAAAATATTTTTTCATCACCTTTTGATATCCTCATTCTCCATGAGGACCCGGAGGAAGTCAAAATAGTAAGTCAACCCAACAGACGCCACAATCCAGAACACGGAATGGCGGTTGATCCGAGAGAGTGGTTTGGCATCTTTCTCTTCTTGACCTGCAGGTTTGAGACAAAATGCCATGGTCACTGGTAATGCAGTAGGCCTATATCATCACTTATTCAGTTGATTTCTCAAAAGAAACAGCAAAGGCCTACAGTGACTGTGTGTAATTGCTCTCACAGTTTAGTGTTTAGAGATTTGTTGAAGGGTGCCACACAATCTAGCTAGGCCTATGTATGATGATAGCCTAGGCTACAGTCCTCTGTAGCTCAATTGGTAGAGCATGGTGCTTGTAACGCCAGGGTAGTGGGTTCGATCCCTGGTACCACCCATAAGTAAAAATGTATGCACACATGACTGTAAGTTGCTTTGGATAAAAGCGTCTGCTAAATGGCATATTATTATTATTATTATCATTGAGTTTAATGATGAATAGCGTCAGTCTGCCAAGGGGTTATAAAACTAGATTGAATTTACAACAGAATGAGAACAGAAGGTGGCCAATCCGCACCTTTTAAGGTTCAAGATATTTCAAGATGAAACAGATAGCACGAGGGGCAGTAGGCGATAAGATAATTTTTTGGAAAGCCTATTAATCTCTATAATTTAGCAGTTGATTAAATGTATCAGAGACAGCAGTTGGCTGGGGAAGTGGACAAGCTGCGAGGTCTGTCTCAGGTATGAACCCAGTGCACTGGGGTTGGAACAAAAATCTCCTTTACTTGAAAATCAGGCCAACCAAGATGCAGCTGTCTCATACTAGACAGCTCAAATAGCAACTTCAAGGGTAATTTAATAGTATTCAAAAATAAGGGAATATTTCACATGAATAATGTTGCATAAAATATTGCCAGTGTAAAAGAATACCATGTACTGAACCATCCAGCCAATGTTGGGTCTGCTGTTTCTTTTAATGCATATCAGTTTACGCAAGCACTGGGCTGAGTCTTGAGTATGGTCCAGAAGTATAGTCTGAAACTATCATGTTGCTGCAGTGCTGACACAGCATTTGCACAGTCAAAACAATCAAGAATCAGTGGCATGTTGCCCAGTTTGAGCCTGAAGATAAGACAATTGTTCTCTCTGTTGTCAAATCTGCTTACTGGACCTCCTGTATGTTGGCTATATTTAAGTGAAGCCGTGGTTTGGAGGATATATTGGCCCGTGTTGTTAGGTCCGAGACAAATAACTGTTAGAAACATTAAAATAATGATTGACATTTTCATAAAAAATGTTATTTTGATGAATGTATTCATACTATTTCATCCTTCCACGAGGATATAGTCCCGAGGTTGCTACCCAAGCCGTCTGGTCGTTCGTTCGATTAGCATTGTTTCCAGCCAAGGTTCACTGGTTGTTAATTTGATTGGAAGGTTGCTATGGCAAACAAAAATGGTTGTTATGGAGTAGCGGTTGGAACTGAAATTATTTTCCAATCGTTTCGACCCACATATTAAAGCTCTGAACTGGTTCAAACCAGAAATTAGTACCGGTTTAAAATAATTCCTTTCCGTTCCTTTTTTAACTTGTGAAATCGACAGTTTTTACATTTAACTAACTAGATACCTAGCTAGCTACGGAGAAGCAGTTTTCCTGAAATTGGGCTACTTTGAAAACGATGTAGAGGGTGAAAAATGTATTGGTCGCAGGTGGAGGGTTTTTGGGCTACTTCTAAACTGCACGGCGGCCGCCATGGCATTATATTTATGTTACCTGCTGCTGCTATGAGGCAGTGAGCAGGCTGTTACTGAGCGAGTGAATGGTGGGGAGGGCCGGAGGGGGTGTGTGTGCGTGAAGAGCACTGGTTGATATTCCACACCTCCTCGGGCCTTATTGCTTAATCATAAGTCAAAACAGGTTAAATTGACGGGAAATGATCTGGAGAGTTTAATAAGCGCAATTTATATTTTCTCTTGCAATATTCTTTAACTCGCAAGAATGATAATTGATGGAAAACCGAATTCTGCTTCTTCGCATACGTCGATATTCCTTCTTAATTCGCTCGATTACGTTATGAAAAAGGGTTTATTGGATAAATGTGGCAACTCCTCTCTTGCTGCGAAAACACACATTTGGGCTAGTTTTATGCCTTTTGGGCAGGTTCAGAGGTCATATGGTTAGACATTTGTTTGACCTGGCAACCCTGAATGTACTTGATATTCGAGACAATCCTAGCTAGACGTAGCTAAGATTTTCCTTACAGAAAAATGACATGCTAGATAGCCTCGACTTTAGCAAGCTAGCTAGTAGTTAGTTACATTAATCGCAATTAGAAATGGGAAAGTTGAATATGATAGGCAACGACAGTACAAATAAGTTATTTACGATTCATTCATTGATTTGTTACTTTCGTGAAACTCAGTTCTCTGTGCAAGCTACGAGCGTATTTTAATGGCTAACATTTACGTCATTTAGCAGACGCTCTTATCCAGAGCGACTTACAAATTGGACGTCTGCAGTTAACTTTACTTACTCTTTTCGTTGCGGTCACCTGCTGAAAACCCTTGCATGAGAAGTTCAGCATCTTTCTTGAATCTGTTTCGTAGATTTACGAAATCACTATCAGCAAGCATGTTTGATATCAGGCTGTTTTTGTCTTGTCTGACTGGCTAGCTGTGGCTAACACTTCCTGTTCCTTCGTTTGCCTGTGACGTTTATTTAATGCGACAGTCGTAGTGGGGTGAATCAAATGCAGAGGTAGATATTTACTAGTACAGAGGGATAGGCCAACAAGTGATATGTTTCAGTAAGGTTGGTTTTTTAGCGTTTATAGCAATGGTTATTAATTGTACTGCAGGGATGGAACGTAAGTCGAAGAAAATGGAGGTTGTGGTGGCAGCTGCAGAGAGTTATTTGGGTGTGCGAGACTTGACATCTGAAGAGTTAAAGGGAGTGTTAAGTGGTGTTAATTATTAATAAATATAAATAATTTGTGCGTGTTGTGTTAGATGGTAGGGTATTTCTTTATTTTATTTTCAAGCAAAATATAAGGGAGTTGTACTCCAGTCTAGTAGGTGGCGGTAATGCAACAAATTGGATGCCAACCGCCGTTAAACCTCATTGAAGAAGAAGAAGAAGAAGAAGAAGACGAAGAAGGGGTGAATCAAAGATCATAGGCACGTTCCTCTGCCCAGGCGTTGCTGAAGCATGCCAAATCTTACAATGCCTGGATAGGTGTTTTAAGTATCAGCCAACCACATCATAGTTATAGAAAGCAATAGTAATGGTGTCTTTTTGTAGACACTGACGAAGGCTAACTCTGCCAAAGCCTAGGGGGAAATGAATGTTTTTTTTGGGATAAACACCGAAATAAGGGCTGTGGTCAACATGGAGAGATCTTAAACGTTTGTTCTGATATCTCATCAGCTAACGTTACTCTGTGAATTTTGAAACATTTATGTAATCAAAACAAGTAAAACGCTAACAATGTGCTAACATGTAAAAAATAAAACTACATCTCAGGTCGCATGCCTTTGATGTATAGCTAACAATAAAACGAGCACCGTCCTGCTGAAGAGATATGGTTGCAGCCTGGAGCATAAAAATATACCATCCTTGCATTTTCGTTAGAGCTGGTAAGCAGAAAGCTAATTAGCTTTTTGGCATACTGTAGCGTAGACTAGTTTGCGTGATGTGAAATGTAGTTCCATTTCTCTGACAGTTTGCAACTGACTTATTTTGAGCACATAAAGGCTTCATAATTCATAAAGGTCATGTTAACTGACTGATTTTAACCCATAGAACAAAACGTATAAGATCTCCTAAACCTGTGTTAACCTCTGACCTAATTTCTGGTGTATATCCCAAAACCCCATTAATTTCCCCATTCATAGGAATGCCCAACACACCAGAAGTAGAAAATGCTAACTCAGTACTGGTTTTTAGGACTACAAGCTGGCGAGCTTTATTGACAAGATAGTCGAGTTGTTGTAGAAAAATCTGCTCTTGTAGTCGAAAACTGTTAAACATTCACCCAGGGTTTATTCAATAGTGACCTGCGCAGGGAAGACCTTTTCTGGACACAGCCAGCATTGGACTCTCTTAGACATAAATACATTTTAGCTTATATAGGCAAGGAACATCTGGTTCAGATCAGCATTCTCCTCTCTACTGAGTTTTCTTGGCAAGCTTATCTATTATATAAGACATACAGTTGAAGTCGTAAGTTTACATACACTTAGGTTGGAGTCATTAAAACTCGTTTTTCAACCACTCCACAAATGTCTTGTTAACAAACTATAGTTTTGGCAAGTCGGTTAGGACATCTACTTTGTGCATGACACAAGTAATTTTTCCAACAATTTTTTACAGACAGATTATTTCACTTATAATTCACTGTATCACAATTCCAGTGGGTCAGAAGTTTACATACACTAAGTTGACTGTGCCTTTAAACAGCTTGGAAAATTCCAGAAAATGATGTCATGGCGTTAGAAGCTTCTGATAGGCTAATTGACATCATTTGAGTCAATTGGAGGTGTACCTGTGGATGTATTTCAAGGCCTACCTTCAAACTCAGTGCCTCTTTGCTTGACATCATGGGAAAATCAAAAGAAATCAGCCAAGACCTCCGAAAAATATTGTAGACCTCCACAAGTCTGGTTCATCCTTGGGAGCAATTTCCAAACGCCTGAAGGTACTACGTTCATCTGTACAAACAATAGTACGCAAGTATAAACACCATGGGACCACGCAGCCGTCATACCGCTCAGGAAGGAGACACGTTCTGTCTCCTAGAGATGAATGTACTTTGGTGCGAAAAGTGCAAATCAATCCCAGAACAACAGCAAAGGACCTTGTGAAGATGCTGGAGGAAACAGGTACAAAAGTATCTATATTCACTGTAAAACAAGTCCTATATCGACATAACCTGAAAGGCCGCTCAGCAAGGAAGAAGCCACTGCTCCAAAACCGCCATAAAAAAGCCAGACTACGGTTTGCAACTGCACATGGGGACAAAGATCGTACTTTTTGGAGAAATGTCCTCTGGTCTGATGAAACAAAAATAGAACTGTTTGGCCATAATGACCATCGTTATGTTTGGTGGAAAAAGGGGGTTGCTTGCAAGCCGAAGAACACCATCCCAACCGTGATGCACGGGGGTGGCAGCATCATGCTGTGGGGGTGTTTTGCTGCAGGAAGGACTGGTGCACTTCACAAAATAGATGGCATCATGAGGAAGAAAATTATGTGGATATATTGAAGCAACATCTAAAGACATCAGTCAAGAAGTTAAAGCTTGGTCGCAAATGGGTCTTCCAAATGAACAATGACCCCAAGCATACTTCCAAAGTTGTGGCAAAATGTCTTAAGGACAACAAAGTCAAGGTATTGAAGTGGCCATCACAAAGCCCTGACCTCAATCCTACCACAGAGGTACGTTCATTCATACAGAGACTCCTTGACTGGAGTAGAGTTATTGCAACACTTGTATGGAATCATTGGAGGCTGGTGAAGGGAGGACGGCTCATAGTAATGGCTGGAATGGAATCAATGGAACGGTATCAAACACATGGAAACCATGTTTCTAAGTGACACCAGCCTCCACTGTACAGAATCAACTAAAGTGCCTCACTTGCTCAAGAAGCGGTACCAGACATTCAAAGTGGTACCGATACACCAAGTCTGGAACCAACAGGACCCTGAACAGCTTCTACCCCCAAGCCATAAGACTGATAAATAGCTGACAGAATAGTTAACCAATAGCTACCCGGACTATCTGCATTGACCCTTTCTGAACTAACTCTGTGCACACACACTGGACTCTACCCACACACTGGACTCTACCCACACACTGGACTCTACCCACACACTGGACTCTACCCACACACTGGACTCTACCCACACACTGGACTCTACCCACACACTGGACTCTACCCACACACTGGACTCTACCCACACACTGGACTCTATCCACACACTGGACTCTACCACACACTGGACTCTACCCACACACTGGACTCTACCACACACTGGACTCTACCCACACACTGGACTCTACCCACACACTGGACTCTACCACACACTGGACCCTACCCACACACTGGACTCTACCCACACACTGGACTCTACCCACACACTGGACTCTACCCACACACTGGACTCTACCACACACTGGACTCTACCCACACACTGGACTCTATCCACACACTGGACTTTACCACACACTGGACTCTACCACACACTGGACTCTACCCACACACTGGACTCTACCACACACTGGACTCTACCCACACACTGGACTCTACCACACACTGGACTCTACCCACACACTGGACTCTACCCACACACTGGACTCTACCCACACACTGGACTCTACCCACACACTGGACTCTACCCACACACTGGACTCTACCACACACTGGACTCTACCCACACACTGGACTCTACCCACACACTGGACTCTACCCACACACTGGACTCTACCCACACACTGGACTCTACCCACACACTGGACTCTACCCACACACTGGACTCTACCCACACACTGGACTCTACCCACACACTGGACTCTACCCACACACTGGACTCTACCCACACACTGGACTCTACCCACACACTGGACTCTACCCACACACTGGACTCTACCCACACACTGGACTCTACCCACACACTGGACTCTACCCACACACTGGACTCTACCCACACACTGGACTCTACCCACACACTGGACTCTACCCACACACTGGACTCTACCCACACACTGGACTCTACCCACACACTGGACTCTACCCACACACTGGACTCTACCCACACACTGGACTCTACCCACACACTGGACTCTATCCACACACTGGACTCTACCACACACTGGACTCTACCCACACACTGGACTCTACCCACACACTGGACTCTACCCACACACTGGACTCTACCACACACTGGACTCTACCACACACTGGACTCTACCCACACACTGGACTCTACCACACACTGGACTCTACCCACACACTGGACTCTACCCACACACTGGACTCTACCACACACTGGACTCTACCCACACACTGGACTCTACCCACACACTCACACATACTTACATTGACATCCCCCCACACACACACTACATACGCCCACACACACATGCATACTGACACCACACACACACACACACTCACACACACACACAAACTTTTCACACTCACCACACTGCTACTGTCTATTATCTATCCTGTTGCCTAGTCACTTTACCCCTACCTACAGTATACTGCTGCTACTGTCTATTATCTATCCTGTTGCCTAGTCACTTTACCCCTACCTACAGTATACTGCTGCTACTGTCTATTATCTATCCTGTTGCCTAGTCACTTTACCCCTACCTACAGTATACTGCTGCTACTGTCTATTATCTATCCTGTTGTCTAGTCCCTTTACCCCTACCTACAGTATACTGCTGCTACTGTCTATTATCTATCCTGTTGTCTAGTCACTTTACCCCTACCTACAGTATACTGCTGCTACTGTCTATTATCTATCCTGTTGCCTAGTCACTTTACCCCTACCTACAGTATACTGCTGCTACTGTCTATTATCTATCCTGTTGTCTAGTCCCTTTACCCCTACCTACAGTATACTGCTGCTACTGTCTATTATCTATCCTGTTGTCTAGTCACTTTACCCCTACCTACAGTATACTGCTGCTA